GTTCCGCACAAGAAATCAGGAAACGAATGTTAAGTCTGCAGAAAGGCGAGGTAGGCTATGGTGGAGTAGGCGGGACGGCGACAGGGGGCGCGAGGCACAAGTCGGTGGCAGCAGTAACCGCGAAGTTAAAGCTGTCGTGAGGCAAGGTCACGAGGAGTCTTCGAAGGTCGGTGCGACGAACGGGGTCGAGGCAACCGAAGCAAAAGGTAGAGGCGGAGGACGACGGACAAACTGGGCTTGTACGTAGTCGGGTGGTGGCGATTGCCAGGTTTACGTAGGTTGTACTAATTTTCATGACATAAAATCATACAATACGAAATGCCGTTACGTTTTGGCCAGTGAAATGGCATAATATCTTTAATTTGGGGCTGTATATATAGTTTATGTAACAGTCCATATTGTAATACATTACGATCAATATCCGATCATTCAAAGGTTGCCTGGAAGCTTGCAATATCTTACTACCATGAGCTGCTGCCCCGTGACTGCAGAGCCCGCGCGGGACGTGGCCGACCATATCGGTGTAATGAAGAAGGTGGGAAATACCAATCTTTATGTGACAGGTCCTGCGTCTTCGAAAGCCGGTATCATCGCCTACCCGGACATCTTCGGATTGGACAGTGGTCGCACCAAGGCCGATGCCGACACGCTTGGTAAGCTTGGGTACACTGTGGTGGTTATTGACATCACAGATGGCGAATACTTGGAGGATGCAAACGGTGCTGTGGAATGGGTGAAAAAGTTTACCTTTGCAGAGCAGTATGGTCCGCGCATCCAAGACGCCATCAATTTCTTGAGGAACGAAGTGGGTGTTGAGCGCATGATCAGCTACGGCATGTGCTGGGGAGCGTGGGTGGGCGCTACACAGACCACGCAAACTGATCCAGTCGTTCTTGGCCATGTGTCGTTCCACCCTTCGTGGATTCTCGAGAACAAGCTGAATGGAGACGGGGCCGTCGACAAGCTTGCCGCAGCCGTCAAGGTGCCGCAGCTACTTATGCCTGCTGGCGACGACCCGGATTATCTTAAGCCCGATGGTAGCGTGCACAAGATTCTTAAGGCTCGTGACGACATTGGCCCCCAGTCAGACGTGCTGCTCTTCGCCGACCAAATTCACGGTTGGGTGCACCGCGGGGACTTAAACAACCCCGCTACCAAAGCTGCTGTGATGAAAGCCTGGCACGCTGCTGTCAAGTTTATTCAGACCATCTGTCCGATATAAAGTATCGGATCAAATGACTTTTCACATGGAATCTGCTGCTGTGTGTGTAACTGATCTGCGTTTGCTTTTTAAATAGTATCGAAAAATCGCGACTGCTCATACTAGTGAAATGATGCCTAACAAAATAAAGGTCAGTTTCATATCCTTCAAATAATGCTTAAATATACAAAACTTGTTCGCCAAGCACTATGGTCACACTCCTCTGATTGCCTCAACGCTGTGCATGCAGCCAGTCTGCGCACAGCATGTATCACCTATCAGCGAAGCGTTGCATCCAGGCTGAATCTTATCAACTGGACGGCAACTCTTGCTGCGACCGGCGCGGCGCTGGCTGCTGTGGGGATCTCCGGTGTTGCACTTAACGAAGACGACCACGAATTCGTTAACTGGTCTGCCACACATAAATGCCGTCCTCACAGTTTCTACGTGCCCGAGACAGTGGATGAGGTAGAGAAGATCCTTCAGACGTATCATGCCAAGAAACAGAAAATACGATGCATGGGAGCTGGAGTGTCGCCTAACGGCTTAGGCTTTTCAGGCAAGGTGTCCGACAAGAGTAATGCCAACGAGGCCATTATAACGCTAGCTTTATTTGACAAAATTCTTCATGTAGATAAAGAAAAGCTTCAGGTGACGGTGCAGACTGGCATGATTGTCGGAGACCTCCTGGACAAGCTGCGAGCATATGGCATGACCATGCAAAATGTGGCCTCCATCCGTGACCAGCATGTAGGCGGTATTTGCCAGGCTGGGTGTCACGGCACAGGCGCGAATATCCCACCTATTGACGATCAGATTGTTGAAATGGAGATTGTGACTCCTGCCAAGGGTAAAATGATTCTTAGTGCAACGAAAAATCCAGAGCTCTTCGAGCTGGCGAAATGCGGTCTTGGCGCGCTTGGCATAGTTACCAAGGTCACGCTACAGTGCGTGCCTATGCACAAGCTAATTGAGAAGACCACTGTGATGACGGTGCACGAGCTACGAAAGAACCACACGCGCTGGCTCCGTGAATTTCAGCACCTGCGTTACATGTGGATCCCTTATACCGATTCGGTAGTTGTGGTACAATGCCGTCGTGCTGAAGAAAACGAGCTGCTGAATGAGAAGCGCTTCCCCCCGCTCCAAAATAACGACGATGTACGCATGATGGCACCTCGTAAGCTGTACCTGGAACTGACTCACGGCAAGCCCGAGCCAGATTATCTCGACTGGAGTTTCACAAAGATGCGTGACAAATTGCTCGAGATCAACCCGCTCGACAAACAGCATGTCATTCGTGTGAACAAAGTGGAAAAGAAGTTTTGGAAGCTGAGTGAAGGCTACCGGGTGGCGTACTCGGATGATGTTATCGGCTTCGATTGCGGTGGCCAGCAGCTCGTGGAAGAGGTTTCCTTCCCAACTACTGGCACTTTGGATATTGATTTTATGGTGGGGCTTTTGAAGCGCATTGACGAGGAAAACATTCCTGCGCACTCACCGATCGAGCAGCGCTGGACAGCTCGCAGTACCTCCTTGATGAGCCCTGCGTCGTCTTCCGATCCCAATCAAATTTTCTCGTGGGTGGGTGTTATCCTGTACTTGCCAACAGCGGACAAATTTGTACGCACTGCCATTCAAGATCGTTTTATGGATTTTTATGCCATTTACCGCGACTATATGGAATCGTTTGGAGCAACAGAACACTGGGCGAAAATTGAGTGGCCCGAGGATGCTGCTGAACGCCAGAAGATGCGAGATCGTCTAAATAGAAGATATCCGCTTGACAAGTTCAGAAAAGCACGCGATGAGCTTGATCCATACCGTATTTTGTCGAACCAAATTGTAGATGAATTGTGCGCTTGAGTCAGCGTTCTAGGAAACACAAAATCTAACATTCTGATAACGATAATAGCGCTATTTACTAGTCTTTTCTCTGGTTCCCAATATAGCTATGTAAGAAAAGTAGCAGCAGAAGTCACTAACTAATTATCTTGACGTGCTTCTGACGGATTGTTTCAGATCGCTGGTTTTATGTAAATTATCAGGAGCTGTCGAGATAGTCCTGTTGGACTTGCTTTCTCAAATCTTGCGCAGGTACAAATGATTTTTGCCTCCGCTAAGTCAGCTCGGAATGATACTACAATCATTTTCAAAGACTGTATAAATGCCAGATCTGCCATTTTAGTGCATCGTGGCGGGAAATGCGACTTTATAATTCATTCAGTTCTTATTGGCTCATGATTTAGCTGCTTTGTGCAAATATTTCAGGCTTAAAAGCTCATCACCTTCGCCGCCGCTTATGCTACCACCTCATAAATTTCTTAAGTGCTGTCAGCACTTCTTCTGTCGCTTCTGTTGAACAAAATAGGTAGCCCGATACGCTACCCCTGCGCAAGATTGCTGCAAATG